TCGATGTCATGACCAAGGAGGAAGATGAAGAGCAACTTGCAGACATACTTTTTTTTGCTATAGCCATCAAGAGCCTTGTCACCTAAAGAAAAGGCGGGGAAAGGTTTTATTCCAGGTGGGTGAGGCGAGGGGAACAGAGAACTCAGCAGCAGGAAAGAGGAAGCGCCTGAGGAACCTTCAGCAGAGGCCGCGGCCGCGGGGCAGGTGTGCTGCGGACACCGTGCTGAGCACGAATGATGCTCCTGAACTGGTGGTGCACATCAGGACCCAGATGTTTGGCTTCCCTTTTAAAAACAGAAGCCAGAATACCTGGCACCAAGAGTTCTGCCCCTCCAGGCCAGGCCCTCCTTAGGCCTTGCTCCGGCCACAAGCCTCCGAAGGACCCTGCAGCAATGGGATGTGCGAGCCCTGCCCTGAACCATCACTTAACCTTTTAAGTAAGGTACTAAAATTCAGGCAGATGAACATACTCTGAACTACCTTCCGTTTCACAACAGCTTCGGACGAATCACCTAGTCATGAAAACGAGACCTCACACATGCCCGGGAAGGACTTTTTTCCTTTACCTGATCACAGCATGTGTGGGCACCTCACCAGCGATCACGGCAAGGCAGATTTAAAACGTGTAACCGGCAGAATAAGATTCCACTTAATAAAAGGATCACTCCTATAACAGCAACTCAAAGTACCATTTTTTGTTGTTGTTGTTGTTGTTTTTTGAGACAGAGTCTCACTCTGTTGCCCAGGCTAGAGTGCCGTGGCATCAGCCTAGCTCACAGCAACCTCAAACTCCTGGGCTCAAGCTATCCTTCTGCCTCAGCCTCCCGAGTAGCTGGGACTACAGGCATGCACCACCATGCCCGGCTAATTTTTTCTACATATTTTTAGCTGTCCAAGTAATTTCTTCCTATTTTTTTTTTAGTAGAGACAGGGTCTCACTCTTGCTCAGGCTGGTCTTGAACTCCTGACCTTGAGCGATCCTCCCGCCTCAGCCTCCCAGAGTGCTAGGATTACAGGCGTGAGCCACCATGCCCGGCCTAAAGTACCATTTTGAAAAAAAGGACCATTCAGTATTGCTGTTTTAAATATCGAAAGTTCTTTTTTCACCTAAGAAGGAAAGGCAGACTACGGGGGAAGACAGGAAAAGAGGCTTTGGTTTTTTTTAAAGAGACGGGGTCTCCCAGGCTGGAGTGCAGTGGCACAGGCATAGCTCACTGCACCCTCCACCTCCTAGGCTCAAGCAATCCTCCCACCTCAGCCTCCCCAATAGCTGGGACAACAGGTGTGCACTACCATGCCTGGCTAATTTTTCTGTTTTTTTGTAGAGACGGGGTCTCACTATGTTGCCCAGGCTGGTCTCGAACTTCTGGGCTCAAGCAATCCTCCCATCTCGGCCTCCCAAAGCGCTGGGATCACAGGTGTGAGCCAGCATGACGGGATGAAAGGTGGCCTTGTGAAGGGCTGGGTCTCATTGAGACACTGTGGCCATAGCATGAAGGGTGCGTGTGGCCTAAAGGGATGGGGCCTGGGAAGAGAACACAAGCAACGCTCGGCCGCTCTGGCCCCACTTCCTGGGAAAGGTGGACGCGCTCACACCTCCGAGAACAAGCGATGGCCAACCTTGCGGTCTTGTTCAGAACAAAAACAGGTCCCCACATTTCCCAGAGTGACGGTGCATCACATGCCCTGACACCAGAATTCACCGAGACGTGGACCTTTTGCCTCCCAGCACCAAACACACGCTCCCTGCGCTCTGGCCCTGGGCGGAGCCCCTCGTGCCACCCTCCTTCCCGCCTGCTCCGCAGAGGGCACTGGAGGGACACGGCTGGAGGCAGGGCCAGTCCCAATGCCTTGGCTGGGCTGTGACCTTCCTGTGACCCTCTCAACACGGCCCAGAGGGCCTGCTGCCCACACGAGCACCCAGGTTTCCCGTGCAGCCACCACGTGACTTGCCAGGGTACAAGGTTCCCTGCCTCCCGCCGCTGCCACTCCCACGAGGGTCTGCACGGGCCTGGCCAAGCCGGCAAACCACTCTGCTCTGGGGACCGAGCCCCCTCGCTCCACGCAGGTCGAGCTCCAGCCCTGGCGAGGGACCCCTCCAAATCTGTCCTACCCCAGGCACTGTATACAGTCTCCTTCTATTTTAGCGTCATTCTTTTACCAGAGCTTAATAATTACTGACGACAAAGGCCCCTCTTTAGCCCACGGTGAGGGTTCTCTCTCCTGAAAGGACCCAGACTGATAGTCTTCAAAGTGCTGGTTTCACTACTGGGCTAGACTTGTTTTTTGATTCCAACAGTTTCAAAATGTTAAGCTGTAAGATAAGAGGATAACAGCGACACCAATCTCCCTGGCTTGTGCAGATCAAAGGAGAGAGGGTGGGAAACCTCACCCCAAACCACAAGTGGTCGTGATGAGGGTGGGACTCAGTCTGAGGGCTCAGCTGCTTGCTTGTCCTGTGATCTCAGGCAGGTTCCTTCACCACTCTGAGCCCCAACTTCCACGACAGGCCGTTATAAAAACACAACAGGACTTTGTAAACGGAGCTCAGCAGTGTCTGGGACAATGCGTGACCACAGCACAGGCGGCCAAGCACCACACTTCACTCACTCCTGAGCTTACTGATGTCACAGACATTAAAATGTGAAAAAATGGCTGGGCGCGGTGGCTCACGCCTGTAATCCTAGCACTCTGGGAGGCTGAGGCGGGAGGATCGCGCAAGGTCAGGAGTTTGAGACCAGCCTGAGCAAGAGCGAGACCCATCTCTACTAAAAATAGAAAACTTAGCCAGGCATGGTGGTGCACACCTGTAGTCCTAGCTACTCGGGAGGCTGAGGCAGGAGGATCTCTTGAGCCCAGGAGTGTGAGGCTGCAGAGAGCTGTGATGATGCTACTGCACTCTAGCCTGGGTGACAGAGCGAGACTGTCTTAAAAAAAAAAAAAACAACTTTTTGGTATTAACTCAATGAATCTTTGGTGATAGTTAAATGCTGAAATTTAAACAAAATCCAACGGAATTGCTTTGAGGTATTTTCAAATAGTAGTATCTACTACCACTGCCTTCAAGCTATCATTATTTTAAAACCTGTGTTGGCCTCCGCAGATTTTGCTGATTTGCAGGTGGACCATCTTTTGCACTGAAATTTTACTAATTGCTTCTCTAAGTAGACAGATTTCTTAAATTTTTCCTATTAAGAAAATGTACCTTAAGTAAATTTATTAAATAGTTTTAAAGGTGTTTGATATCTGGCTCCTTGTCTCTCACTGTAAACAAATGAGAAACAAACTTGTATGGATAGGGATAACTAGTTAAGCCTTACCAAAGTAATACCACACATCCTAAAACATTCAAAGGTGAAATGCTGTGACGTCTGGAACATGTTCCAGAACACTCTGGGTGGGCTGGGGCAGACAGAGCAGGCCAGCGCGCCACGGGGAAGGCGCCTTACACTCCTGCCTCCACCCCTATGTGGGCTCGAAATGTCCATGCAATTTAACAAAAAATAGAGCTGGGGGCTTCCTTCCTGTTAGCCAACTTTCTTAAAAGAGAACATGTCCCAGAGTCAATGCAATACCTGGATGCACGTGGTCTGTGGTCAGCACAAAGGTCACTGGGGTGGCTCCGCACGTCCAGGACTCAGGCCTCACAGCCCTGCAGCAGGGGTGCTCTCGGGCTCGCTCAAAGGCTCAAGAAGCAAAGATGGTCCCAGGCAGGCCACCCTAGCCAGGGCCAGAGTCTGACCGGCACTCGTGGTATAACCGCAGTGGGTCCACTGCCCTGCGCTGGGCGCCTAAGCACGGCATCCTCACACCCACAGTGGCCCTGTCAGCGAAGTCACAGGGCCTGGGGCAGAATGCTCTGGAGCGTGGCCGTCAGCCACCACAACTCAGAACATCCGACCTGCTGGCAACATCTTCTGTAGGCATAAAACGTTTTTTAATCAATTTCTGTCTGGACCTTACATGTTAACACAATTTAAGGCTCACACTGGCTATTTGAACAAGAGTGATTTCATATGTTCCTTGCCCGTATAAACCGTCCTTTTAACGTTTTTTGTATACAGTGCGTGGGATAGAATTCAAAAAAAGATGCAAAAATACACAAAGTTTTTTGTATTCATTGCCTTCTCTACTTAGAATCTGAGGAACACGAAATTAACTGAAGTGCTGCTCGTCCCCAAGCTACATCTGAGTAAACACACACAAAATAAGGTGCCTTCGCTGGTTTCTTGGACATGCCACCAAAAGCACAGGCAACAAAAGAATAAACTGGACTTAAAATTTAAAGCTATTTCGCAACAAAGGGCACTATCAACAGTGAAAAGACAACCCACAAATCACATATCTGATAAGGCTTAGTATCCAGAACATACAGAGAACTCTAAAACTCAACAGCAAAAAAACAAACAACCCAATTCAAAAACGGGCAAAGGGCTTCAACAGACATTTCTCCAACAAAGACATGCAGGTGGGCCAGTGTCACACGGAAAGGTGCCCAGCATCACTCATCGTCAGAAACACACATCAAGCCACACCTCGCACCATCACAGGGCCTCGACCAGCTCACGCCTGCAGTCCCAGCACTTTGGGAGGCTGAGGCAGGAGGACCACTGCAGCCTGCAGTGAGCCATGATGTGCCACTGCACTCCAGCCTGGGTGACAGAAGAAGATCCTGTCTCTTAGAAAAAAAAAAATTTTTTTTAAGTACACTAATAAAATTATTCCTAAATATCTCATTATCATTTTTTGTTTTCATTTTCTGTAGAGACAAGGTCTTGTTGTGTTGCCCAGGCTGGTCTCAAACTCCTGGGCTCAAGCAATC